AACTGTAGGCCGATGTCATCCTCCACATATGGCATCTGAATGCTTTGCTTTTACAAACCGCCCGATATAAAACAACAGAGCAATGAGTCACCATGGGTGTGTGTGTGTGTGTGTGTGTGTGTGTGTGTGTGTGTGTGTGTGTGTGTGTGTGTGTGTGTGTGTGTGTGTGTGTGTGTGTGTGTGTGTGTGTGTGTGTGTGTGTGTGTGTGTGTGTGTGTGTGTGTGATACAGGGTACTTATTACATGTTGTACTTTGGATTCCTAAAGCTTTTAGTCTACTAACCCATCATCCAAGGGTAGTTTTCACTATAAGTAAAAAAGAATATTTGGACGGACACTATAATTTACAGTTTTTTACTATGTAAAATCTGAATTTTCTTTCAAATAAAAAACATCTATATTGATTCTGACTTTTCTACATCCAACTCACAGGTTTATCATTACTTTGAGAATAAAGATTATTAATGTAACCCTTTTAGAAGGGAAGATATGGTCATTTGTTCTGGGAAAGTCATTTTCGAGCCTGAGACCTGAAAAACAGGCTCAGAGCTTAACAGGTTAAGAAAGTTATCACCAAAAATGTTAAGAATGTTTTTAGAGAACGTTATCCTACCTTTCAGAAGAACATTCTGGGAACCAAAATAAAACGTCCTGCTGAAAACGTTTTTAAGAACAGTAGGGCATAATGTTCTAACAATGTTATCAAAAACATCTTAAGAAGGTTATCAAAAACATCTTAAGAAGGCTATCACCAAACATTTCAAGAATGTTTTTAAAGAATGTTATCCTACCTTTCAGAAGAACATTCTGGGAACCAAAATAAAACGTCCCGCTGAAAACATTCCTAGAACAACGAATGGTAACAAACATTTCTAGCTGGGAACTCACACATGCCACCGCAAACATGCAATATCTGCTTACAGCTTATCATGAATTACGTGCTTGTTTGTTTTTTTCAAAAGGAAAATATGGTGACATCAGATTTTTTTTAAAACATTATTTTCAAACAAATGCAACAAGTTTGTTTTTTAAAGCGCTCTAGAAATAAATCTGACCATGACCATGTTAATATTTGCCATAACAGGAACGTTTTATAAAAAAAAGAATAACATCCTGAAAACATTTTCAGAATGTTGCTTTGAAAATGTTCTTCATTTGTTATCATGTAACATTGAGGGAACGTTTTATAAAGAACATCTTTAATGTGTTACCCAACAACGTCCAAAACACATCCTTAGAATGTTGCAGGCAAAACGTCCCACCTTTGTTAACATATCACATTAAAGGAACGTTTTATAAAACACTTTCTGTCATCTCAGGCCTCAATAACATCCTCAAAACATCCTCTGAATGTTGCAGTTAAAACGTTATGTCTTAGTTAACCTTGAACCTTATAGGAACATTATTTGAAAAAATAAACATCCTAAAAAGGTTCTTTGAACATCAGATTGAAACGTTTCTTTAAAACCTTATTAGAACCTGTAGGTAATGTTAGCCAAAGTTGTGAGAACGTTCCCCGCTAGCTGGGACGGAGAAGGTAAAACATAGATCTAAATTATTTAATTAAGTTTTGAACAGGCTTATTCACAAATATGTGCACATTTAAAAACTTGAATTCACAGTAGGTAAATAAAATCTCTCAGTCAAACAGGTGGCTTTCTCAGCCTCTCTGTTGGCTTCAGGCTCAGGAACTATCGGACCATTTAACACGCACACTAATCTGGTCTTCAGAAACGTTGCCTCCAACCCAAACACAGGTACTCAAACTTATACAATTTAAAAATAGTAGCAGGTTTTAGGCTTTGCTGAATTCAAATACATGATCAACAAACAAATCTCAAGTTACCTTCACTGACAAGAAATGTCCCACAGGTTTTTTCATTGCACCAGTGAGAGGAGCCTACCACTTTGAGTTCTACATATATGATCTCGGTCATCCTTCACATGGTTCAGGTGCTGTGTTGTTCAAGAATGGAGAGCATGTTTGTGCTGCATATGAACATCAGCCGCCAGGTGCTGGGTCATCTTCTAATGGTGCCACACTGCTTCTAGAGGTCGGAGATGTTGTGTTTTTGCGTTTGTGGCAAAACAATCAAATACATGACAATGAACATCACTCTAGCACTTTCAGTGGTCATCTGCTTTTCACCATGTGAAAGGGAAACTCATTTTCTTCCGCTATATGATCTTTTTCTTTTGTATTACAGCTTTGCTTTTTTATTGACAATGCTGCACAACAACCAAAAGGAATCTATCAGTAGCAGCAAATTAAAGTCTCATTGTTTTTCTCCTGTAAATGAAAGCTGACTGACAAGCTTCACAGTAACACCCATTTATAAATATTACATATGTTTGTTCATGTTCTCTTACATTTAAATACTATAGACATATCACTGCAATACTATTTGTAAACACACAAAGTTGATTATAAAAATAAAAAAATCCTACTGTTAGTAGAAACCCAAAAAGATGTGTCTTATCTGTTTCTGAGAGATACAATAATCACTAATAGTTGTCTCAGATGTTGGTGAGATCTCAGGCTCTATGAACACAGTCACTCTGATCCATTTTCAGCTGAGAAGCTTTGCACTTTGTCATATTCTGACTTTCTGACTCAGCACTTGTCTTGTGTTTTGGGAGAGACTGGTTAATATCAGTTAGAACAAATAATGTTGTGTTAAAAATCTGATAAAGCGCACATAATTCTGCTACTTCCTGCCTGTAGATGTTTTATAATGTTGTGTTGTTCTTTAAAAGTCAGACTTTGTAACTATACTGGATTTATTGAGGAAGCAAAGGGAGAAAATATATTTTATAGTCATCTTCATTTGGTTTCTGGTAAGTCTTTTATCATATCACCTGATGGACTGCCTCATTGAGGTCACTTTATCTCACTGTCATTAATGTTTGAACAAGTGGATGATCATTATTTTGTTGACATTGACCTATTTTCACTGACCAGCCATGAGGTGATTTTAATAAACATTTTATAATATTCGATAATCCACATTATAGTTTTGTAATTGTTTCATTAAAACATAAAATAATACCATAAGATTTCCTTCACACCAATGCACACCATTCATTGTAGATGTTATAATAAACCATTTTTGGGGGTAAAAATCAATGCCTTTAGAGCAGGGGTGTCAAACTCAAGGCCCGGGGGCCAAATCCGGCCCGCGACTATCATTTTATGTGGCCCCACAAGAGCTTGCAAAGAATATAATATGTGTATTATACGGTTACATGCTACTTTACAGAAGCACGTTGCCCATAAACGACATGTCCTACAATGCATCTCAGAATTTTACTTTTTCTCAGAATTTTACTTTTTTTGTCAAAATATGCCTTTTTTCTTAAAATTAGCCTTTTTCTCATAAATAGATTTATTTTTCAAAATTTCACTTATTTTTTTTGTTTTTCCAGAATGTGGCTTTTCTTTTTAAATCATTTTGTGACATTCTCACTGAAGAGACTTGCAATTATTTGCCCTAGACTTCTGCTTTCAGACGTAGTTAATTATGAAGTTATTACCCTATCCGATAATAATCCAATGCAGAGGCAATCATGTAATATAATACATTATTTTATATATATTTATATATGTATTTTTATATAGTCTTAAAGTTACAACCGGCCCTTTGAGTGCAACCATAATGCTGATGTGGCCCGCGATGACATTGAGTTTGACACCCCTGCTTTAGAGTTAATGAAAATGCACATTGGCCATTAAATGTGTTTGAGTTTATATATATTGTACATTGTTGAACCTTTCAGTTATTGAATTTGTTCTTGAACCTTGTAAATAAGTCTATGTCTCTGTCGCTCAACCTACATATTGTTTTGTTGTGTTAGAGAAACGTCTGCCATCACTGTAAGCCTTTCTATTTCTTATATAACCTTTAAACTTACCCTTCTGGATTTATTGAGGAAGCAACGATAAAAACCTTTCTTTATTGCTAAAATGACATGTATTTTATAATCATACCTTTGGTTTCTGATAAGTACTTGTTTATCTCAGACAATGAACAACCTCAGTGTGATCACTTTATCTTACTATGTCATTAATGTTTAAACAAGTACAGATGATAATTATGTTGTTTACCTTGACTTACTGACACTGTCACCAGGTGATTTTAATGTTTGTCTATTCATATTGTAGTTTTTAAATTGTAGTTGAATCACAGATTTCCCACACACACACACACACACACACACACACACACACACACACACACACACACACACACACACACACACACACACACACACACACACACACACACACACACACACACACACACACACACACACACACACACACACACACACACACACACACACACACACACACACACACACACACACACACCATCAAGAATCAATAATGACGTTTCAACAATAAGTCAAAAGTAAAAGCTTGTTTACTATTGTGTGCTGTGTTATCAAAGATATTTTCCAGATGCTCCAATATGTTATCAGAAGGTCATTTTTGTACATTTATGAGGCTGTGTTGGGTCCTTGAATTGGAGGTCATATGCTCTGTTGAATCCTTGACATTTCATGGAACTTGATTCCTAAGAAGCTGTAGGAACACTAAATATACTTTTTGAATGTTGGTAAACTGATTATTAAGTTTGAGCCTAACTCCATCATACAGGCACTGTAATTGTAGATAATTTATGTTTGTGTAATAATCTATAATATTATATAACAATAATATTGGGAGGGATGAAACCCTCTTTAATGGTCACACATGCAGAGCACACAGCACACACAGTGACATTTGTTCTCTGCATTTAACCCATCGTAGTACTAGGAGCAGTCCAGCTATTGCACAGCGCCCGGGGTGTGTTCTGTTTTTACCGTTGTTTTCCTGAGAACATGCTCAAAGGGTTTTTTTTCCACATGTTTATGGTCAATATTTTTCTTAATGATTGATCAGGAGTAGACACTATATAAAAATGGGATTACCACAGAAACTCTAAAGTAGATCTGAACAGACTGCCACTTTGAGAATGGAGATGACCATGTGTTTTCCTCTGTTGCTGCTGATCTGCTCTCTCTCTACGGCTCAGCTTCAGTCTGACAATGAAACTGTTCCACATCATGCTGAATCCCAGGGAGGAGAACCAACAAATGTGTCTGAGCACCAACAGACCTGTCCTCAAGACATCCACGCTGTGCTGAGAGAGATGAGCGCCTCTTTGGCTGAACAGAGGGTGGAGACAAGGCACCTTCAGAGAGAGAATGAAGGTACTGTAGTGTGTAAGGTGGGGAGGGAAGACATATGGGAAACACTTTTTAAAATAACATATTTGTTGTTCATTCACAAATTACAGAGCTGTTGTTTGTGAAGAATGGGTTTTATCTTAGAATCGTTTTGTATACCTTTCTTTTTAGCACAGGCAGCTCAGCTGAGAGAACTGGAGTTACAGAAGACTGAGATGGACATGTTGAAGCTACAGCAACAAGGTATACGATGAATATGTCAAATTGGAGACAATACATTTGTCCTAAATATATTCAAAACATTTTTTAATGATTTAATGACATACTAATTTACTAGAAAAAGTTTTCAGTTGCTAATGAAAGCAGTGATGTTGAAATTCTTTAAACTGTCAAAGATTGTCTTCATTGCAAAATGTATTTCACATTGCTACTGTATCACATTATTTTAGCCCACGGTGGGGAAATATGGAAACCGTTCTTGTATATAAAGTTGTCTCACTATACGTTGCAAAATACATGTATTAACAGATGTAACAGATGTAATGTGTGGACAAGATCGTGGCTCTGACAATTTATAGTGAAAATGATTTATGATAGTGTATCTTAAGCAAGGAGAAAACCCTGTTTGAGCAGACACATATATTATAATATATTATACATGTATTTCTTTAAACATAAATGTACCATAGGCAAAGCCAACCTTGATGAAGACAGTGATGATGAAATACTTGAAACTATCAAACTCTATTTCTGTCAGACACAAATATGTAATGATGTCACTTTGTTCACAGTACAAGCAGCAGAGCTGATCACTGTGAAAGCCAGGTCAAATGTCACAGAAAACCAGGTGGAGGCTCTGAAGAGAGACGGAGAAGGTAAAACATCTAAATAATAGGTTGAATTTGTAATATATGTACTTATTTTTAAAGCATGAATTCACAGTAGGGAAATAAAATGTCTCTCTCTCTCTCTCTCTCTCTCTCTCTCTCTCTCTCTCTCTCTCTCTCTCTCTCTCTCTCTCTCTCTCTCTCTCTCTCTCTCTCTCTCTCTCTCTCTCTCTCTCTCTCTCTCTCTCTCAGTCAAACAGGTGGCTTTCTCAGCCTCTCTGTGGGCTTCAGGCACAGAAACAATCGGACCATTTAACATTGAATCTAATCTGGTCTTCAGATACGTCTTCTCAAACATTGGGAATGCCTACAACCCAAACACAGGTACTCAAACTCAATCATTTAAAATTAGTTTTAGGTTTTAGGCTTTGCTGAATACAATACATGATCAGCAAACAAATCGATAGTTACCTTCACTGACAAAAAATGTCCCACAGGTTTTTTCATTGCACCGGTGAGAGGAGCCTACCACTTTGAGTTCTACGTATACGGTCCCGGTGATCCGACACATCGTTCAGGTGCTATGTTGTTCAAGAACGGAGAGAGAGTTTGTATTGCATTTCAACATCAGACTTCAGGTTGGGCAACATCTTCTAATGGTGCCACGCTGCTTCTAGAGGTCGGAGATGTTGTGTTTTTGCGTTTGTGGGCAAACTCCATGATATGTGACAGTAGAAATCATCATAGCACCTTTAGTGGTCATCTACTTTTCACCACCATGTGAAAAAATAAACCGTTTTCGTTGTGTGTCAGTACTGGTTGAAAAAAGTGTAATTTGTTTTTCCTTAATATGAAAGCTGATAACAACACTGTACAATACACTTTTTAATCAAAAATATGTGTGCATTTAAGTGTCTTGGCTAACTGTAGAGATCACAACAGTCGTTAAGTTAATTTGTGTACCTTAATATAAAGTGTTACCATAAATAAAAAGTGAAACCTTGTAAAACATTAGCAAACTTGTCTTTATAAATTGTGTCATGTTAGTAATTTGCCTCCAACCCTTTTCTTTTATGGGCAATAGCATTTACATACATTTTTTTAAATGTACGATTGACAGATGAATAAACTAATGATAGATAATGAAAGCTGTAACTGTAGGTCGATGTCATCCTCCACATATGAAATCTGAATGCTTTGCGATTTCCACTTTCCCCTATTGGTAAAAGACAAACCGCCCAATATAAAACAACAGAGCAATGAGTCACCTAAGTTAAAAAGCTTTCCCTCTATGGACATGAACTGAAGTGTCTCAAACTGCATTAAACACTTATTATTTGTTTGCTGATGGATGGCTCTCTTTCTCTCTCACTTCGTGTGTGTGTGTGTGTGTGTGTGTGTGTGTGTGTGTGTGTGTGTGTGTGTGTGTGCGTGCGTGCGTGCATGCGTGCGTGCGTGCGTGCTTGCTTGCGTGTGTAGCGGTTTAATGGGGATTGATAATAATGCGATAATAATGTGTGTGTTTTTTGATGAGCTAGGAGATGAGAGGGTATCTCTCTCAGCTGCATACATATTAATAACAGTTGGAGTGTTTGGTGGGAATACTTCTCCTCCAATAGTACATCATGCAGACACATCCCCACACACAGACACACACACACACACACACATGCACGTGTCTGAACAATCATGAGTATTTCTCTATGCATCTCTACGTCTCTCTCTTGCACATGCATCCACATTAGGATGGATAAACGCGGCAAGTATTTCCACACACACACACACACACACACACACACACACACACACACACACACACACAGACACACAGACACACACACACACACTGGTATCTACTCTCTCTGGGTCTGATAAACTTGCTTATGACAGCTAATAACTCCCCTATTCCCTCTGGTCTTAATTAAGGCCGGTTATTACAGAGTGTTTGATGCTCCTCTCCCTCCTCCTCACACTGTTGCACAGCTTGATTCCTGCATGTTGTCGAGAGTCAAATGTGGAGAGAAGGGAGGGAGGACAACTTCCCCAAACTCCTCTCTGCTTCACTGTTGGGGGTCCGGGCAACCAGTCTGCATCCCACACACGTATATGCATGCAAACACACACAGACACACACATATCATTATCATTCCCTGCTTCTTTTATACTTTGCATTTAAGTGTCTTGGCTCAACTTGGCTCCCTGCCATGTGTAGATGTTTTGGCAGTTCAAAGTTCAGAGCTGTGTGATGGACGGAGGGAAGAAAGCGGTCATAAACTGGACTTGAACCCTCAACATTTCCAATGTCAAGAGTGCTCCTTTACCTCAGCAGAAAAAAGTGTTTTCATAAATGTTTTCCAATTATACAGCCCAAGGACATAGAACTTGTTCAAACACACAAAAGAGGAAAGCCATGGATGGAAACGTTGTCGTCAGATATATCCTGGTGCAGCCATGCTTCTGTAAAGTACATTAAAGGTCCCATGTCATGCTTTTCCGGTTATTACCTGTCCTCTTGTGTGTTATGAAGGTCTTTCTGCATGTAAACGGTCTGCAGAGTCAAAAACCCTCAAAGTACACCCTGTAGCGAGTAAAACTCTAACACAGAAAAGACCTGTCTATGCTGCCCCAGAACGCCTCGTTGGAGATTGCTCTTTTTCCATTTGTTTCTTCCGGGAACCGCATGACGTCATGCGATTCCCGGAACCAAAATGGACCAATCCGCTGAGCTCCTCACACACCAGGATCCCTTGGCGTCACTATCAAACGCAGTGGGGGGACCTTTAGCGTACATTTTCAACTAACAGGGAGTCCCATTGACTTGCATAGAGCTCCCTGGTTGGTAATAGACGAGTTGGGATCACAGAGAAATGCTCTCCGCAGACCCATTCTCACAGCGTTTATAAACCTTTTTCTTACTCAATATCAAGCCACACTTATTGTTTTTACTTCGGCTATGAGTGTTTGTGTGTGCTCAGGATGAGTTTCGCGCTGTCTCGCTGTATCGCCGACACGGAAACCACACCAGTAAGCCAGCTCAGTGAGCAGCGAGCCTCGCAACGTCCCGACCAATCAGAGCACACTGGGCTCACAGGGAGGGGGGGGCAGGAGCTCCAACAAGCCGTTTAGGACAGAGAGTGAATACACATACTATACAGAGATGCTGTATGAGAAACCAATGTGAGTTTGGAAAATTGCACAATATAAATCTATTTTAGTATACCTCAACAATGGAATTATGATCAGTAGAAATGGCCATGACATGGGACCTTTAAACTACACCCCAGATATTCTGTCTAACTCCTAGCTAACGCCATTAGCTCGTCCATTTCATTAGCCAGTGATCTTTTGTTGCTCATATTGAGAGAGGGTCTCCAAAAACCTGGACCCAACGTTCCTCCTTCATCTCTTTAGCTAACCCTACAGAATCAACTCAACGGAGGAAGAAACTAACAAAAATCTCTCCCTACAAGAAAGTTAAGAGAGGGCATAGCTTCATGAGTTACTAATCGAAGTTAGTTAAAAAAATTATAACAAGTATACTGTATACCCATAAGCCCCCCACCCCCCCACCCCCCACTTCCTCCTGACTGCTTTCTGTTTTTTTGTTTTGTTTTGTTTTGTTTTTTTTGTTTTTTTTCTCTGTTTTGTTTTTGTTTTGTTGTTGTTTTGTTGCCTGTCCTTGTCTGTCTACCCTTCCCCAAATGTAAAGCGTCTTTGGGTCTTAGAAAAGCGCTATATAAATAGAATTTATTATTATTATTAAGTAAGATCAAAAAACAAGGCTAACATTTGAGTAGTAAAAACAAAAAGTAGTGAAAGAAACTAGCAGGAGGAACTGCAACAGGCTGCATGCATGGTCAAAGGCTCACATGCCAACCTATTATACCATAACAAGGGTTTTCACTAATAAAACTATTGGCAGTATATCTCGAATGTTGTCCAAGGAGATTCATGGAATGACATCTGTATTAGTGAAATTCTTAGATTTTTTTATATCCGGCCCACTTCTATCTCTTCAATGCCCAGAACTTATATAATATATTTAAACCACTCAACATTTGATAAATGCCCCTGGTGTTTGGCACAGTATACAAATACAAAAAAAACAGAATGCATTAGAAAGAAATGGGACGGGAACCAGAGGCAGAAGAAAAGAAGAGCAAGGACAAGGACAAGAGTTTGAATCAGTCGTAGCTTGATTTGACGAGCGGGTGACCTCATGAATTATGCAGAAATTATCTTTGGTCCCAACATGATGTCATGATCTGAGAGAGGGGCATGTAGTGAGCCTCTAAACATCAAATATTCATCACACACACACACACACACACACACACACACACACACACACACACACACACACACACACACACACACACACACACACACACACACACACACACCATCTTACAGCATGTTAATTGGCTGTTTTGATTGCAGTAGTCTTGAGTTTCTATATTTAACCCACAGCTGACAAAAAATATTTTAAAGAGCAATATGAGATCATTTGTTCGAACAGCTTGTTATTTTATGGATTTCTTTTTTAGAGAGGTTTAGTTATTTGTTGTAAACTGTCAGAGCTTGTTTTCTGTCGAGTAATGACCGGGATGTCTGTCTTTTTACGACACGCGTCTCTGTGCCTACAAAATGTTTCACTGTTACATTTTCTTTGGCAGCAACAACAGATGACCAGATGGCACAGCTGAGCCATAATCATCCGAACATCAATGACTCTGAAACAATTACATCACTGTGCCCTTTGCCACCAGGGCTAGAACATATTAAGGAAAAACACAACAGCCAAATGGAGATATTTACCTAAATCTAAGATAAGTTTATTGTCAGTGCAGAATAAATAAAGATCAGGTAACATAGGTTCATTTTTGAAGGCTTTATATTTTGCTTTTAGGGTGTTTCCCTTTCCTTTATTGCAGGGGTGTCAAACTCAATTTCATCACGGGCCACATTCGCATTATGGTTGCACTCAAAGGGCCAGTTGTAACTTTAAGACTATATCAAAATACATATATAAATATTTAATATATATAAAATAATGTATTATATGACATTATTGCCTCTGCATTGGATTATTATGGGATAGGGTAATAACTTCATAATGAACTACGTCTGAAAGCAGAAGTCTGTGGCAAATAATTGCAAGTCTCTTCAGTGAGAATGTCACAAAATGATTTTAAAAGAAAAGACAAATTCTGAGAAAAAAGTCAAATTTGAGATGCATTGTGGGACATGTAGTTTATGGGCAACGTGCTTCTGTACATCGCAATGTAACTGTATAATAAACATATTATATTCTTTGCAAGCTCTTGTGGGGCCACATAAAATGAAGACACGGGCCAGATTTGGCCCCCGGGCCTTGAGTTTGACACCCCTGCTTTAGTGTGTTTATATAGATGTGTATGCATGTAAATGGTCTGCAAAGGCAAAAATCCTTGTGTTCCCTCCAGAGGGAGTTTCTCTCCCAAACACTCCCCCCTAGCATTACACATTAGAGCAAACATTACACAGTATACGCACAAAACAAAAAAAAGAACCGAAAATGAGCAGAATATGTCCTCTTTAAGAAAGAAAGCAGGATCACAAACACTGAGCAAAGGTGGAAGTTGTAGATTTTCCTCCTTCGAATGACCTTTTTTCGAGCGAAAAGTTTGTTCAGCTACTAGTCTTTGTTTGAAATGTCTCCTTAGCTGGCATTAACAACCAATTTTTGTTTTTGGTTGTTTTTATGCAATCTGGCTTATTGCTCTTGCATGATGGATGCAGTCATCCATGTTTTACTAAGTCAGTGGCTTCATGTTCCAGCGAGCTAACTTCATCCAAGAGTGCAACCTGTCTGCCAGCTCAGTGATCATATAAACGTTGATCTTGTTTATCTGAGCTGACAGGAGAGCTGAAGTCTTTAAATGGTTTCGCAGGGGCAAAATAATCCATACAGTACTGAGGGCTGTGGTGTCTCTCTCCCAGTGTGCCAATTC